TCATGCTTCAATGAGCGAAGTCACCCAGGAGGAACCTCCAGCCGGAGGGAAACCTCGGTGGAAAAAACCAGAACCCACAACCAGCGGGTAATAGTGGAGGAGATGGAATAGTCCCCCCGGTTGGTGGCGCTTTCCAACACAGGAGAGAGAGAGAACTCAGATAGTTCAGATTCGGAGCATGAGGATGGAGAAAGGTGAGGATGGCGGAGATACCTCAGGAAGATGCTGGAGAAGCAGCAGAGAGAGAGAGCTCTGGCCTCCATAGCCCAGTTCATGAGACCTCCGGCCCCCCCTCACTCCCCTCCACTGCCTCCAGTGGCCGAGAACCAAAGACACCCCCTCTGGCCAAGTTCAATGGCAAAGCAAATAATGTGCGGACCTTCATCGGGCAATGTGAGAATGTCTTCTCCATTGAAAGCCAGTCTTTTACCTCCGAAGAGGTTAGGATCCGATATCTTCTGCCAACCAGATAGCTGGGATGTCTGTGGTGTGAGAGGAGAGATGGAAGCGCTGGGATTCCTTTGTGGATGCTCTCACAGAAGCCTTTGGCGAAGCCATCTCTAGGGATGATGCGGTAGCCTAATGGAATAACCTCACCCACGCAGCCAAGGGAGGAACAGACTCCTCCCAAATAGCATTATTCAGCTGATGTGGAAGACTGGCTATGAGGGTCAGTTAGTGAATGATAAGATCCTCAGTTCCCTCCTTCCGGACCTCGGCACGAGTTGTGCTCTCTTTACCCCGTTACACTCTGGGCTTCCTCCAGCCTGGGTTTGCCAAGGGTTTATCCCCGGAATCCGACAGAGCAAAAGGCACTGAAACCGAGATAAGCTCGAGGGGCGGCCTACCTCGCAGAGTTTGGCTTCAAAATTGTATACCGCCCTGGAAAACTAAAACGGCAGAGCAGACATCTTGTCGCGGCGTTGGGACCACGCCCTTAAAGAGGGGGGTAAGGCTCATCAAGACCCTGAAATTCGCTTGTTTAAGCCAGGATAACTTATAATGGGTTCTGTCCAATACCCGATCGTTATGATCAACTCAACATGGACAAGAGCAGCCCAAGTCTGCAAAACTCACACCGGTGCTCCCGGATGAAATCTAGGCTCGAGCAGCCTTGGATCCAGGGTACCTTTCCTTGAGAAAAGCCATTGAGAACACCTCCGGGAATCTGGTGAACCGAGACCTCACTTTAAAGGATGGAGACGTCTTCTATAAGGAAAAGTGGTACATTCCAAATCATCGAGAACTGGAGCTCAAGATCCTGAGCGCCCTACATAATTCGAAGACTGCTGGTCACTTTGAACAATTCAAAATGGCAGAACGCCTTCAGGCACTCTCCTTTGGCTAAAGATGGACAACAATGTGGAAGAATACGTTCGGAGTTGCGATACATGTCAACGCGTTAAGGCCTCAACACACAAGAAGTATGGGACGTTGCAATCTTTAGAGGTCCCCTCTATGCCTTGGAGCTCCATTTCAATGGACTTTATCGCAAGCCTGACTGAATCTGAGGGCTATACCCATATCTGGGTTATCGTTGACCGTTTTCACCAAAATGTCCCAATTCATTCCGCTCGAGACCAAAGCAACTATTCAAGAGCTTACTCAAACCTTCCTATGGGAGATATGCCGACTGCATGAATTTCCTGAGGAAATTATCTCCGATCGGGACTCTAGATTTGGAAGAGATCGTCCTCAAACTGACGGACAAACTGAGAGAGTCAACCAAACGCTAGAACAATATCTCAGAAACTATTGCTTCTATCAGCAGGACGATGGGGCAAGAATACTCCCATTTGCGAGTAAGCCTACAACACGGCCACCCAAAAGTCAACCAAAGTATTGCCGTTCTACGCGAACTATGGGTTTCAACCAGATTCCACTTGGCCCTCACCTAAACGGAAACTAGAAAACTTCGACGCGCCCAGCGCGGCGCAAGCACAGCGGAAGAAATGGTATGATCAGAAACATATGAGTGCACCAGAACTGAAGGTCAGGGATGAGGTGATGATGGACCGACACAACATCTTAACCAAGCGATCATCAAATTAATTAGATTACTAAAATCGGGTCCCTTTCAGGTTGTCGGGAAACTTGGTGTCACGTCCTACAGGCTGAATCTACCCTCTCAGTAGAACATTCATGATGTTTTCCATATATCTCTGCTGGAACCGTATTGGGAGTCAAAGGATCATCAACGAGCTATAGCGATTCCACCTCCGGATGAGGTTCAAGGCTGATCGTGGGGGAGAAGTTCGTGCAATATCGGATTACCGGGGAGAGCTATCGCTCAGAAGACTTCCGGGAACCTTACAAAATGTTGCAAGGAACGACAGACGAGACGCTCCGAGAGTTCCATCCGAAGTATCCCGGAAAATCACGGGGCTCATGGGTGAAACTTTAGAAATCCTCAAAATACGGCGTTTTTTCCCATCGGTCTGACAGTGTTCGGATGCCGTTGTTTCCCTGGGAAGCAATACAGGAAAGTGAAGGAAACCGATGCACCGGAGTGTTCTGGGACAAGCGTGGAGAAAACGGGTCTCCCTTTGTTGAGATACACGTTTTTCACTTGAGGTTTTCCTTTGTTAATGGAAATGGATGCGGAAAATAGAGTGTAACGGAGCCATTTCAACTGTCTGGTGTATGAGTACACACAGGGCCCGGTTACATGCTGAGAGTTATTGATAGAAGCCAGTTGCACAGTGACATGCAAGTACCGGCAGTGTGGTTAGCTACCAGCTGTCAGAGTAACTACATTCTGAGCGCTAGGAAGAGGATCTATTCATGGGAGCAATGACTGACGAGTCTATGCCTCGCCAATGATTAGAAGGCCGGCCAGAGTGAAGCTCTGAGTGCTCAGCGATCCTCTACATCCTCCGAGCATGATAAGTCCGCCCGTAGTGGCAGGGACTATGCCTGGGAAAGTCTACAATAAGTGAAGAGCTCTACAGCAATGATTAAGCTTACGCCTGAGCGGTAGCTCATTCATGCAGGTCCCCGTTGTGCGACAACCAAGACTGCAGGTGTTACAAAGGCTTTGACTAAGGGTGGTTGCCTTTGGAACGGGAAGCACCCGCTAACGCTTAGAGAGAAGCGGGGTAGCGGTGGTAGTGCTTCCCTTCCACTTGAAGGAATCACCAGAACTTAGTAAGGAAGTAGGAGCAGAGAATGGAATCCTTTGGAGTAGAAGTACTCAGGATCCTTCTCGCCCAACTATCCGATTTTTTGATTTTTCATCTTGCACGGCCACACCTTTTCTACCGGATCCTAGCGATACGTGGAAAGGCTGTCCCCGGTACATAAAGTCAGTATGGAATCGTTATTAGAGCTACATTTTCTTGTATGCGCATAATGTACCATACCAAAAACCCTAGGTTCGACTCGGGACGAGTCTACCGGAGAGGGGGGTAGTGTAACAGAGCCACAGTAGGGCTGTTACAAAAGTAACTGTTCTACCAGTCAAGCCATACGACCCTAGGGTAATCACCACTTGTTCTTCATCGATGGGTGAAGATAAGGGCAGATGACCCCTACCTCTATTGGTATGAAGGGTAGGGATCCTGGCGAGCAAGAAGTCTTATAAGTCAAGCTAGGCGACTGGACCAAAACTAGAGCAGAAGGACGAGCATGCCAAATACGGAAGGGTAACCCCAAACATAAGTTACCCTACCTTGGAAGTCAACCTTTGAGGTGCAATAACTTAGCAACCGATGCTCGGAAAATATGCTTTACCACGTCAGGAAGGATCCTGACGATGCTCCGGTCCATTTGGGGTGGTTGAATGAACGGATTGCGGAGTTGAGGAAACACTGCAAAATAAACACGTTTTAGACTCCAAAAATAACCCCCGGAGCGTCGAACCGCCGGAACCCTCCTGTTTCAGCCCGGAGCACCTTTGAGGGGGAGTAGGAGTACGACCCAAGCTACTAAAAGCAAACCTCGCTTTACAAAAAAAAACACCAAATCTGTTCTAAAACAAATTGAATAAGCAATTGCTATCTGGTCGGCTGTTTCCGCTAGTTCTTAGGATCCCGACCAGCTCTTGGCAGAGATTGCGTGATTTGACTCGGGCGGAAATTCGTCCGAGGGGTGGCAGCAACTCCTCTCGCCCCTCATAGAAAAAAGTCGCGGTGTCCCCGGACTAGGGGAAAAAACGAAGGGTCTAGGGAAAAAAAAAAGGGGGAACTTCGATTAAAGTACTCGGTTGCCCCCCAGTTTGAACTCGATGAGGGATGGAATCTTTACTAGCGAGGAGACCCCTTAAAATTATTAAGTTTTTAGACTACAAATACGATCAAACAAATAAACTCCATCTTTCGATCGAACGAGCCCAATGAATCCATCGTTGCCCGTTTACCCTTTCTATGTCAGATCGAAGTCACGGTCGTGTATCATCCTAGCACCCCCGTTACAATACCATCGCTACCCCGCTTTTTTCTAAGCGTCAGCGAGTGCTTCCGGTTCTGAAGGCAACCACCCTTAGTCAAAGCCTTTGTAACACCTGCAGCCTTGGTTGCCACACAACTGGGGCCTGCATGAATGAGCTGCCGCTCAGGTGTAAGCTTAATCAGTGCTGTAGAGCTGTAACGGGGGTCTATGGACGTAGGGACTATGGTGCCAAGGAATACAACCGAGGCGAGTACGTGACAATAGGTATTCAAGGCTATGGGCTATGGGGTGGCTCTACCTAGTATGACAACTAGTTGAACACTATGACGAGGCGTAGAACAAAAGTAGTATTCGTGGAGTAAATACAAAGGTTCCGTGAAGAGAAGAGGAAAGAAAGGAAAACATGAGAAGGCACGAGACAACACCCCTTTATATATCCAGCCTCTAGTCCGTTGATGACTCATACCTCGCGTAACGGAAACCAAAAGAACATAACAGAAACCCCATTACCAATCCTAACTCAACTACGCAATACCTTCCCTTCACGATTCAATCGATCATTCTAACCAACAGATAATATTGCCGTTACAGATTACGCCCCCCTCCAAGGCCTACCTCCTGGTAGGCTTAGGTTTTCGTGGATAACGTTCATGGAATCGTCGAACGATATCAGGCGAGTGTTCAAGGTCCGATAGCGGCTGCCACGAAGCATCGTCATATCCTATGTACCGTACCAGGTACTCAAACCGTCCCTTGCGTTTCCTAGAATCCAAAATGTCTTTGACTTCCCATTCTTCCTCCCCTTCGATCTCAACTGGGGGTGGTGGTGATAGTTGTTGTCCCGGTAATGGATTGCCTACTTCAGGTGACAATAATGAAACATGGAATACTGGATGGATCTTCATGGAATGGGGAAGTTCTAGTTCATAAGCATAGGGATTGACGATTCGTTTGATGCTATAGGGACCAATCCGTTTCCAATCAAACTTCTTGGAGGGTCGCTTTGTTAGAACGTGGCGGGTCGACAAGAAAACTTTATCTCCGATATGATAACGAGGGGCAGGAGAACGATTTAGGTTAGCCGACTCCTCTTGTATCCTTTGCGCCCGAAACATTTCGCTTTTTAGGAATTCCACTATGTCCTTCATTTCTTTTGCAATGCTGTTGGCCTGATCTTCCGCTATCGTTTTGCCATGTTCCAAGGGCCCAAAAGTCATCCTGGGATTTCTTCCCGAGTTGGCATAGAAAGGAGAGACTTTTGTTGTTTCCGAAGTATGATTATTCGTGGCGAACTCGGCCATTGCCAACAGCCGGACCCAGTCATCTTGTTGGTAAGAGACATAACTTCGGAGATACTGTTCCATTATGGCATTGATCATTTCAGTTTGTCAATCGGTTTGGGGGTGAAATGCGGTGGAGAATCGTGGAGATATTTTCAGGCGTTTGCAAAATGACTTCCAAAATTCCGCAACAAATTGCGTTCCTCTATCGGACACAACCGTATCAGGTAGTCCATGTAATTTCCAAACGTTATCGATATATAGCCTTGCTACTTCCTTCGCATCCACTTCTTTAGTTGTTGTTATTAGGTGTCGCATTTTGGTTAGTCTATCAACAACAACTAGGATTGCATTATATCCCTCACTCTCAGGGAGGTCAGTGACAAAGTCCATCGAAACATCCGTCCATGGTCCATCGGGTATTGGCATGGGACAAAGTACCCCATAAGGCGCATTACGTGGTGCCTTGCTACGGACACACATATTGCAATTCCTAACATATCGATCGACATCTTTTCGCATTTGTGGCCAATAATACTCCCGACTTAAGAGTTCCAAGGTTTTCGCTCTACCCGGATGGCCTGCCGATGGTTTGTCATGATGTTCTTTCAGGAGTCTCAGCCGGAGGTCATTGTCCTTTGGTACGTAGAGTGCGCCTCGATAAAGTAGCCGACCATTGTTGTCTTCAGTGCATTCGGCAAGTGAATTTTTATTTGAATGACGAACATCGCTTCGAAGCATATCGAGGATCTCATTTGGGAAACTATCAACTTGGTAAGCTTTTGAAAATAATTCTTCCACAGTGGACATTCCTTCAGCGGATTCATTTGATAAAGAACCCGCGAACAAACTTAGCTTTGCATCCAAATTTTTTCTCTTCAGAACCACTTGGCTCTGATGCATCAACCGTTCATCCCCTTAGGTAGGTTTTCTTGAAGGTAGTCCCAAAGTGCCTTCAACTCTGTTTGGGATAAAGCATATATTGGTCCCCATGGTGGTTGTTTGCCTTCTTCTAATACTATCTTCATATCATGGAACGGTCGATGTGGCGGAAGCGCTGAAGCATCATATTCTTCAAACATGTGGATATAGCGGTGGAACTCCTTCGGTATTAGTTGTTTAATATCGATAGTAGGTTTTTCGGTCGCTGAGACGGCAACGGTATGGGTTTCGGGTAGGGAAATTGATATACCATGAACCGTAATTGCAGTTCCACTAAGCGAGCAATGTTGACAGCAGCTTTGAGAGTCGAAGATAAGCAAATTTTCTTTTGGTCGAATCGTAACATCATGGCGTCGCATCCAAGGTAACCCCATCACAATCGGATAGTGTCCCAACTTTGTCACAAAACATGACGCAGTCTCTCGATGGCCATGAATGTCTAGCGAGACATCAACAATATGAGTAATCTTTCCTGACTTGATAGGTCTGCCGTCTATAACGTCTACATGTCGTGGTATTTTGAGTGGGGTCATGGTGAGATTGTTGTGGCGTGCAAAAGGTTCATCGATGAAAGCATATCCTGAGGCTCCGGTATCAATAAGGGCGTAGGTGGGTACGAAAGTATTTTTATTCTGTGAAATTGAACAAGTTACTACAAATTGATTCCCATCCATTTCCTCCTCTGATACCGAAAAACCAGAAATATGCATTTCAGAAAAATCCTTAAATGGTCCCTGGGCTAAGCCACTTAGTGCAGGGACAAATCTTTTGCCGACTCGTTATCACTTCCATCATTTTCCTCTACTCTCAATGCCGCTCCTCTCATCACCGGTCTTCTTGGTTGATTTCCAGTTACCCTTGCTTGGGGGCAATCTCTAACCATATGGCCAACTCCTCCGCAATAGAAACATCGGCCCTCAGCTAAGCGAGCATTTCTTTCGGTGGGGGTGGGGCGACGACGTCCTCCGGACAAATCCATCGGTACATCACCTCCCGGGCGAAACGAGTGATGGTTCTCCGGTGTAGGTACATTGACAGCTGGGGCGGCAGCACGAGGAGCAGGGGCAGGATTCGCTGGTGGGGGACGAGTGGTTGGGGCAGTAGTAGCGTTCAAAGGCTTTTTACTTCCTCGCTTAGCTTCTGCCGCTCGACGGCGATTGTCCAACCGTTGCAAGAGCATTGCACATGCATCTACCGTCACAGGAGTTTCATGGTGTATCATTGATTCATCGAGTTCCGCATTAATGCCTTCCATCAAAGCCTCAATCCTAGAGACTTCATCCATCCCTGACTCGGCAGCATACATCAGCAAACCTGTAGCCTTCGCCAGATGCCCGGGGCGCTCAGGGCGCTCAGGGCGCTCGGTAGGTAAACTACCTCTCCAGAGATACCGCCAGTGCTCCTGGCGAGGTCTGGCGCACATTATTCCGCCCCAGCGCACACTAGTCCGCACAACGGGCCCCGACACTAAATAATAGCGCCCGGTGTAACTAGGACGTCACTCTACCCGCCAGAGAACGCCAGTTGCACGGTTGGATATCCTGACTGCTCCTGGAGCACTCTTCACTGCTCCAGCGGGCTCTGGGGATAGAATGATTGCCCTGACTCCCCCTGACGTTGCCAGATGGGGTGCTTTGAAATCTGGCTCATGCCCGACGTACCGATTCCTACATGTCGGCGCCCCGTTCTCTCTAGGCATACACCTCTCCGCCGTTCCGGCCTCTGGTATTCACAATTCCCCCATGAGATTACAAAAACATCACTCGCACGACGATCTCTACTGTCTCCAGAGCACTCGCGACTGCACTTTGAGAATTGGTGTATTCAACACCGTGATCCTCCGCCTAATACTAAATACAATACACCATTTAACACCCTAACTAACCCTAATACAATATACGAATCAGAAGAAATCCCCCACTATCTCCCTTAGCACTCGTGATTGTTCTACACATCCTCCTCCCCCCCCCCCTTCGTAATCCCCCGCTACAGGTAATTCCGGCTCTTCTTCTTCCTCCTCCCCCTCCTCTTCGGTGTCAATGCCGCGAAGTCGGGCATTAATCACTTCGTCCTGGGCGCTGTCGAAATCAACCCGACCTCCTGGAGCACTCGTGGGTGTTCTCCAAGCATCTCGGAATGCGGCAAGATCCGCAGCCAGAGCTTCATCGTCCTCGCTAAAACCCTCCTCCGGTATAATCTCAATCGTTACCCCTTTTTTATCTCGTATCTATTAGGGTTAGCATTTAGAATACCACTCGCATTACCGGCATCTAGAAGTATCATACCTTTTCTCGAAGGTTATCTTTGATTACCTCCAAGGTTGCCTCCTGGTTCTGTTTACTTCTCCCTTTCCAAGTGTTGCTCATCCTGTTGAACGTTTCTACTCGTGTTTGGATGTCAGCTTGGCAATCCCGTATAGCCCTAGGAGCATCCGTCATTGCTCCCAAGGCACTCGCCATATCAATGAGGGCATCGGGCCATACTTACTCACAACACTCTCATTCTGCGACTGAAAATTATCAGGCTTCACGTAACTCCCTGTTGACCACGCCCGAATGCCGTGCCAGATCGCCGTCGATATCAGGCAAATAAGAGTAGGGGTTATCCGCTCTAGAAATTCGGGATCCCTAACCCCTCGCATTCTTACCCCATCGAAGTATTTAAAATACAATATATCGATAATTTCCGGAGCCAGGAAGCGCAGTCGGTAGGTCTAGAATCTGTTACCGGCTATCCCGAGTGCTCTCTGGGCATCCACTGGCATCATACCTCGTAATGCTGTTGGGGGCTCAAGAAACGATCATTCTTCAAAAGGTATTCCACTTGAGCCGCCCTCGCCTCAGGCCCCACAAAATTTCCAAGCCCGTATATCGTAGAGTCCGCCAGGCGCCCTTTCACCTCGTGCATCAAGTGGGAACGGACACGGGAGTGCAGACTTCTGACCTATCATTCTCAATTATGCTTCCAGAGCACTCGTAATCCTTTTGGGGGCACTCACCTGTTTAATAACGACCTCATCAAGGTCTACTCTACACCCCACTCGGCGACTAGCAGTTGCCCACATGCTCACTACCAGTACCGAAAGTCTTGCTGCAGGTGGAAAGGGCTCATGTAGAAGAGTATGCTCCCCGATTAACACGCTACACTCCTTCTCAATCCTCTGAGCCTGCACTGACAGCACATTTGCACTCCTAGAGTTAGGGACCACAGACCTCTGAATCAATTGGCTCGAAGGAATGTCGCCAGTGTTCTCAAAGACGTCGTGAGTGTCCTCCGGAATACCAACCTCGCTTCCCGGAATCAAAATACCCTCGCTTTCCGGCATCGGAGTACTCTCGTCCCCCCCCTAGATGAGGAAAGGTACTCGATTTCGTAGACTCTTCGCGATCTACCTTGACCGTGAAGTTGGCTTGAAGGAATCTGACGACTGCTCACAGAGTTCTCGCCAATTACCTCGCTAGGCGGTGAAGAACGATATGTCCGGTAAGTGGGGGACGACTCCCCGTATCGAGAGTGCATCGAGGAAAAATTGATATGGCGCGTAGAAGAGGTATACTCATGAGCATAAACAGGTGCAGAGGGCCTAGACTGTGAGGGTGTTGGGGGTGCTTCCTGGGATGCCGGGAGTGCTCTCTGGGATGCATTCTGGCTGGGTGCTGAAGTGGGTGCTGCTCTCCCTTGACCTTGTTTAGGTATTACTTTCGCGCCCGGTCGAGTTCCCCTCTGAATCGTTAGCCACTAATACTTACATGTTAAAAAGCATCAATGAGCGAGATAGAGTCGAACCTGTACCACGTCCACCGACACGTTGGAAGAAGCAATGACCTCCGCTACCGCGCCAGTTGGTTTCCTCCGAGCATTGCCCAGTGCTCTGGCAGTAGTCGGCTGAACTGTATGAGGTCTCTTTCCGACACTCTGAGACTTCTGGGTGTAAGATGGGGGGGGGGCTTGAGGTTCATCCTCCGGTTCATCCTCATCCTCCTCAGAGCTCTCGTGGTCATTCTCCGGAGCATCATCATAGTCTGAGTGGTTAGTATCAACTATTTCTTCCACCTCTGGCGCCTCAATTGCCTCTGGCGTCTCAATTGCCTCAGGCTCCTCCTGCGCTTCAAAATTATCAGTATGATCCTCGGGGAGATGAAATTCTACCCTCCTAGGACTGCTCCTCCCAGTGGGGGTTTCGGAGGAACGGAGAAGACCTTTCCGAGTTATTTGAGCGGCGGTGGTCGATTGACTACTCCGAGTGCGGGCTGGCAGTGGAGTCAATGTTCGGTAAGATATTTCAGACTCGTCAGTCAGTAAATCTTCATGTTCTTCAGGTCGTTTTGGGAGTTGTGGGCGCTTTGGGGCAAGAGGTGCTGAACCGGAGGAGCGCTTGGTGGGAGCCATTCTGATGACTGGCAGGAATATCCGCAGTGCTCTAGGAGCACTCGCGATATCTTCGATTAGAAATCAATTCTTGGCGAGAAAATTTGCGCCGCTAATCAAGAAAAATTTGCACCGTTAATCCTCTTACTGCAGGGATCATCCTATGTTACCACAATTTCTGCACTCAACCGCATCATTTATCATCACTCGTTTTACTGCACTTTCTGAAGCGGTACCGAGTGCTCTGAGAGCAATCTAGGAGTTTGATTCGACTTTGAAATAAAAGCAATGCAATTACTACCTGGAATAATCTAATCTAATCTAATCTAATCTAATCCTATCCGATATAACCCATCCATTGATATACTCTCGCAAGACAAAGGGAAATCCAAAACACCAAATCGTACCGCACCTCAATAGCTATCGCGAGTGCTCAGAGAGTAATCCTAACAACTATTAAAAGGTTAGTGACAATTCCGCAGGAAGGGAAGTTAGAGATTATACCAAAGGGAACTAATGATGCCCACCACCATCACCACCATCACCACCACCACCATCACCACCACCACCATCACCACCGCCTCCAGCTGGCCCACCACCACCATCACCACCGCCTCCAGCTGGCCCACCACCACCATCACCACCGCCTCTAGCTGGCCCACCACCACCACCACCACCGCCTCCAGCTGGTCCTCCACCACCACCGCCACCCGGAGGAGGAGGAGGTCCGCCCGGAGGCGGTGGAGGTCCTAGACCACCACCACCACCACCACCACCACCACCACCACCACCACCACCACCTCCACCACCACCACCTCCACCACCTCCACCACCACCTCCAGCACCAGCAGCCGCGAGTGCGTCAGCAGCTCTCTTGGCTGCTATCCCGGCAGGTGTCCAGATCGTCCCCTGTAAGAAGTTTGGGTCAGCAACCCCGACACCCAAAGGATACTTCCTAAGGTATTTGGGGTCTAAATCGTCGATAGCATCCTGCTGTCTATCGCGACGCCTAACAAGAGTCTGAATTAGCCTTTGATTACTGGCATCAGTTCTAGGCATATATACCCTCAGTCCTTTGGCATTTATCCGGTGCTTTCCCTCCTCGTAATCCGAATCCTCTGCAGGAATATCGATCATGCTATAATCATCTTCCTCAACGTGAGGGAAAGCCGGGTTCAACGGGGGGGGATTCCGCACCACCCAGGTTAGCACCTGCGCCTGCTCTGTGGAGGACCGCCAATATCCTCCGAGGCCTGGCATTGCTGTTCTTCAACCAACCTTCGAGCTCCTCTGAATCGGTAATTTGTACCTCCACCGGCCGAACGGGAGGAACAGCTGCCGGGGGGACATTCTCAATTGCCCCCCAGATAGTCCTGACTGCTCTGCCGGGTGCGGTGTGCTTCAGGATCAAGTTGCATAGCTCGGGGAAAGTTATCTTGGTCAAAATTCCGATGAACGAAGGTTCGTTCAGGGGATCATTCCAGTTATAAGTAGGTGGTGGGACGAGCATAAAGAATGCCCCTAGAGCATCGGGGTCCACCACGGTAACCATTATGGAAGGTCGCACGAGTTCCGGAGGTACTGCACGCTCTTTCCCTTTGCGAGAGCGTCTTCCGGCTGCCTGACCACCGCCGTCATCATCATCATCACTATCACCGGCAGCCTCTTTGAACTGACGGTCTCCCTGTCCCCTTGATAACCTATCCTTCATACCAACATCTGCGATGAGCCAATGTAGAGCACTGGCCAGTGCTCTACGGGCATCGGAGTCACCCCCAGTCCAAATTGGCAGAAAACCGTTGAGTGAGGGCAAGTTCATCAAGTAAAGGCATAGGGCATTGAACGCAGCCATACCGGACGTGCTTTTATTGACCCAACCCACATTTTGCATTTCCGCCTTTAGGCTGTTGCGGATGCTGGTGTACACTCTAGGTAGGTTGAGTAGACCTAAAGTCATCTTCGCTTTGCTTGCTTGAGTCATCTTGAATGCGGTCGAGCTCGGGGATGTCTCTTGAATACTCGGGGATGTCCCTTGAACACTTGGGGATGTCTCTTGGACAATCGGCGATGGCTCGGGTCTAATTCGTCTCTGTCGTACTGGTGAGGGGTGGTCTATTAGTTCGGACGGGCTTGCACTAGAAAATAACCGAGAGGGGCGTCGGGGCTTTAATGTAGGGGTCTCCGGTGCAAGAACCTTTGGTGGAGCACTGACGGGTGCTGGTGAGGGAGTAGTAGAGCCTGCTGGGCCTGTTGAGCGGCCTGTTGAGCGGCCTGTTGCTGGGCCTGTTGAGCGGACTGCACTAGACTTGGACCGAGTGAGAACTTGACTTGGGACTATAGTCTTCCGGGCAACGTTCTTTTGTGGAGTACTAGCGGGTGCTGGTGGGGTAGCACTAACCCTAAGTACGGTCGTCCGTACAAGGGCCTCTGGTGAAGCACTGCTGCGTGCTGAGGAAGCAGTGGAGACTGCTGCTAGTGGGCCTGTTGCTGGACCTGTTGCTGGGTCTTGATCGTCACTTATGTATGGTTCAGAGGGTTCGGAACTAAAGTCGGGAAAGGAGTCGGAATCAGTTAGGGTTGCTCCCCAGTTACTCGGGAAGATCCCTTCAGTGTCCGATGGAGCTAGGTTAGTATTTGGCGGAGTACGTGTTTCAGTCCGGATTGGTGGAGGTACAGGGTTTTGTTTTCGGCTCTTGTTGATCGGGGTGAACCCGGAAAGCACTGGCGACTGCTTAGGGGGTGTTTCTGGTATCTCCTCCGGGATAGGCTTGACAGTTTTGCGGGACGATTTGCGACCTGAGGAAGTTCGGTGTTTCTTATGTTTTCGGGACGATTTGTGTTTCTTGGTTTTTCGGTGGGTCTTTTCGTTATCGTCTTCGTCTATGTTACGCAAGCGCTTCTTATTGGGAAGTTGATTTATGTTCTGTGAGCTACCGGGAGTGCTCTGAGCGGTGTTTGGAGTCTGATAATGTTAATGTATCACTGTTGTGAGTATGGTTCTAAAATTAATTGGATTAGGAGAGAGAAATACCATCTTATTTATAAAGATTGCAAAGGTTAAATCGCTTGAAAACGGAGGAACTTGAAGGATGAGATTTCAACAGGTAATGTTGAAAGCAATGGAAAACTTGAAGTGATAGGTAGAGGAGAACTTGAAGGTGGTTAGGAACTTCTCACGAACTTGAAGGAAGGGAGGGGTGCTCTTATACCGAGTACGATCAGCTTTTTTCTTGAGCTTATCACGCTTCCGAGAGCACCCACGAATGCTCTAGAAGCACTCGAGGGTGCTCGTACTCAATGTTTGCTTCAATATATGACGTTGATCTAAATGCTCCAGGCGCACTCGGGGATGCTCTGACGGTACCAATGGTGACGTCGATAACATTCTGGTGTTGAGGTTGGTGCTTGTGTTCTTGTTGGTGTTGGTACTCTGTCCTCTAGGAAGCTGATTCGGAGAGAATGTATTCTTTGAGCTCGTAGTCGATATTAGTGTTGAATTTGGCGCTGAGAACACTGTCTCGATCTGAAGAGACTCCGCGAGTGCTCAGGGAGAGAGTGCAGATGCTCAGGGCGATAGAATCTAGCATAACTGGCCGCCTGATTGGGGTGGTGGGTGTTTCTTCGTGTTGGTGTTGATGTTTGTATTAGGTTGGTGATGTATGACATCAGACTCGTATTGAAAATCAGCCTTGCCGACCGGGGTGCAGGTGAGAGGAGCCTCATTGGCTGACAAATCAAATCATTCGAGCACTCTGCAGCAGCACCTGCAGGAAAGAGCCTCCTCGGCCTTGGCAGAAACCAAATTTTTAGAGCACTCAGGAGTGCTTTGCTAGCATCATGAGACTTCAATGAAATCGTCTTGCCCCTTTTGCAGCAAGCGGTACAGCTCCTCCGCGAACTTCGATAAACATCTTCGAACTACACATCCATTTGAAGCAGATGAATGGCTGGGAAACCAATTTTTACTCCTGGAGCGCGATCAAGAGGCACCCGATGACACTCACGACCGCCCGGAAGGCATTCACGATTCCTATTCAGATGCCCATGACGACTCGGATAGTTCGGAGAGCAACAGTATCAATTATCATGACCAAGATCCCGATAATAATTCAGATCTGGAATCCGAATCATATTTGATGATGGAAGAGACAGATGGAGATGCAAATAGGCATGAGGCAGCGACAACGATTTACGAGGGTGCTGGGGAGCGTCTCTACCGCTCGGAGGACTACGACGAATGCTCACAAAACCTTCTCCGATACCCGTGGCACCCATTCAACTCAGCATACGAGTTTAGAATGGCACGTTATTTCATACTGTCGAAGGCCTCACAAGGAAATATCGACAGTTTCTTTCTACACGCTCCGTCAAGCAGTGGCGAATGCTCCTACAGGACTGGGCGAGGTTTTATAAAGAGGTTGGACGAAATGAATGACATATTGAGAAAGGCGAGCTGGCATCATTCGGAGGTGGATATTGGGGGAGAGAAAATCCCTTACTATTACCGGGATCGAATGGTAATTGTGCGATATCTTCTAGGCCAACGGGCCTTTCGGGAGTCATTGGTGTACGCGCCAGTGGTAGAGCATAATGAATCTGGCGAGAGAATGTACGGGGAAATGCATACGGGAGATTGGTGGTGGGAGACGCAGGTCTGGTAAGCCTCACAAGTGCTCTAGAAGCAGTCGCTAATGCTTTCTGGACAGAATACCTTACCGGAGGGGTCGACTGTGGTACCAATTATATGCGCGTCAGATGGCACACATTTGACAAATTTTAGTGGGGACAAGAAAGCCTGGCCAATCTATCTTACCATCGGGAACATCAAGTCATCGGTCCGGAGCAAGCCCACCGGGCATTCGTTAATTCTCCTAGGGCTACTGCCAGTCCCACCTAAGCTCGGGAAGAACTCACTCGCTAATTCCGCTTTACGACGTCAGAGTCAAATGGCGCTGCATCGCGCCCTTGGGGAGATCTTTCAGAGCATTCGGGAGTGCTCTCAGGAAGGCGAGCTAATCGCATGCGCCGACGGGTACGAACGTCTATGCTTTCCGGTGTTGTCGGGTTGGATCGCTGATCAACCTGAGCATTCAAACTTACAAAATATTAGTACTAGCTCTTGTCCAAGATGCGAGGTGGAATTCCACAGTCTTGGGAGCACTCGCCGGAGCCCTACGCGCGATCACGAGGATTACCGGGAGAGGGTAAAGCTATTCAGGGAGAACCCGGGAAACCTGGGACCGGTGGAATATCTTGTCGCGAGATCAGTAAAGACACTCTTCAATGCTTTCTGGGGTATACCGAGGGTTAATCCATACGATCTCAACAAACCGGACATTCTGCACAATATCTACCTAGGGATGTTGAAGCACATGATGGAGTGGGTTCAGGCTTTCTTGAAGAAGCACAATCGATTGGAGGAATTTGACAAGGCTTGGGCCTCGATTGCGCCTTACCCTGGACTGTGTAACGGGGGTCTATGGACGTAGGGACTATGATGCCAAGGAATACAACCAAGGGGAGGACGTAGTAATAGGTATTCGAGACTGTGGACTATGGAGAGGCTTTGCCTAGTATGACTAACTAGTTAAGCCCTATAACGAGGTGTAGAACAAAGTAGTATTCGTGGAATAAGTACAAGAAGTTCCGTGAAGAGAAAAGGAAAGGGAAGGAAAACATGAAAAGGCACGAGACAACACCCCTTTATATATCCAGGCTCTAGTCCATTGATGACTCATACCTCGCGTAACGGAAACCTAAAGAACATAACAGAAACCCCATTACAAATCCTAATACAACTGCGCAATACCTTCCCTCCACAATCCAATCGATCATCCTAGCTAACAGATAATATTGCCGTTACAGATTACGCCCCCCTCTAAGGCCTATCTCCTGGTAGGCTTAGGTTTCCGTGGATAACGTTCATGGAATTGTCGAATGATGTCGGGCGAATGTTTAAGGTCCGATAACGGCTGCCACGAGGCATCGTCATATCCTGTGTACCGTACCAGGTACTCAAACTTTCCCTTGCGTTTCCTAGAATCCA